TGGTTGGTGTGTGTGAATGAGTGTCATTCAGAACCCTCGTATCCGGAGAGACAAGTCTGAGTGGGAGATGATGTTTTGCTCCTAACTGATCAGAGTAGTTTCATAACCACATGAGACGCCATATTGTCGCATCCGCATACCCTCAGAGTTCAGACCTCCGTACAGGTCCGAATGCCAGGTCCACGACCCTCCTCTGGTACTGGAGCCGATGAAACAGCGTCGACAGTACGAAAAACTAGTCTTTGGATAGTCTCCAGGTAAAAAGCGACAGGTGTTTCACAGCGTCAAAAGGGGACCCTCCTTGGGTCAGCAAGTTCAGCTTTTATTCTGAAAGGAACCGTTGCTTGGTTGGTCAAAATCAACAGATTTTTCCCAGCTTGATGGTTCTCAGCTTAAAAAGAGAAGTACAGAATGGCCGGTCCAACACTTAGCATGTGGTGAACTTCATGGGATCTTGAGAACTGAACTTAAGATGGTGCCGGAACTGTTCTACCAATCTGGATGCTTTGAACTCTGGTCGAATCAAAGCCGGCAGATCCACAAACACCACAGAGACCATGCCACACCCCAGACTAGGAAGGCTCTGATTGGATCAGCACAGCAATGTGTCATGTGATTGTTTTCATTACGTGTGTCAGTGTGTCTAGTGAACTAGAATAAGCAGAGGTGGAAAGAGTACTAAAATGTTGTACTTAAGTACAAGTATAATTACTTTCATGAAATTTTACTCAATTACAAGTAAAATTACCTGCCTCAAAATGTACTCAAGTAAAAGTAAAAAGTAGCTTATTTCAAATGTAGTCAGAGTAAAAGTTACTTAGTTACTTTTTTGACTGTGCAAGGACGGGCTCTTCTGAATAGTTAAAAAAAAGACAATGGGGTATAAATGTCAAAGTGGCCGTTTTTTTATTAAATGAACAACTATGCATATTGAAGTACAAAGGCAGTTACACTGCAAACTAGTAACACAAATCAGGTTATAGTCACAAGACTCCCCCTACCCCCACCCCCCACCCCACCCCCGGCAGTTCCTGATAGGCCTACCCAGTCTCTCAGCCTCTCCAGTAGCAGGTGATGGTCAACAGTGTCAAAGGCTGCAGTCAGGTCCAGCAGGACCAGAACAGAACAGTCCCCTGCATCACTGTGAGTCAGAAGGTCATTAGAGACCATAAGAAGAGCTGTTTCAGTAGAATGAGCTCTACGAAAACCTGACTGGAAGCCATCATAGATGTTATGTTCATCAAGAGCAGCTGTGAGTTGTTTAGCCACAACCTTTTCCAAGATCTTGGAGATGAACGGAAGTTTAGAGATGGGTCTGAAGCTGCTATGGAGAGAGGGGTCGAGACTCGGTTTTTTAAGAAGCGGGTGGGTTACAGCATTCTTAAAGTAAGCAGGGACCTGACCAGAAACCAGAGAAGCATTGATTATAGAAAGCACGCTGGGACCGATGGACTGAAAAGCACTTTTAAACAAAGATGAGGGTAAGATGTGAAGACTGTTGCTTGACTTGCTCCGCCCCAGCCTCTGCCATCTGGTCAAGGTGTCTTCTCATATTGATCAAACCTGTTGAATGACAAATACATAACACATGTTTAATATATCTGGCAATTAAGTTTTGATAGATGATGCAACAAGAATTGTTTTTAGTAATACATACCTTACAAATACTATAATTTGTGTCGACAGACTCGTATAATTGAACTTTAAGTATGTTGACAGGATTGAAATGAATAAGAAACAGATTAAGGTATGATATTAAATTATAAAATACCTGCTTCAATGATATCGTGCCTCTCAGTCCAGGTGGTCTTGAACTTTGGAAGAAGGATTGCAGCAGCAGTCAGCTCAGGGTCTTCCATCATCTCACCAAAGAGCTTTTGGACACCATCCTGAATGGCTCTGAAGAGTGGCTGACACATCTTGGAGACAGTCTCCAGTCTGCTGAGTTTTTCTTTTAGCTGGAAGATCACTTGAGGGGCGGGACTAGGAAGCTCAAAAATGACCAATCAGAAAAAAGAAGGAAATCCCGACTGTACCACACAACGCGGTATATTTATAGTTGTGGTAAAAAAAATAGCATCTGGCAATAGCGCAAACATCTTTTATTTTTTTTTTAGAAGAAATGCTTTTAGCGCTTCTACTTGTGGTTTTAAAGACATCTGAGTCATCTAGAACAGAGGAAAGAGCCGCAGCGAACTCCGCCGCTGTCTTCGTTGTTTATGAGAAATTGAGCATTGCCGTGTATGACGTGAATTAAACAGGAGGAGTCTGGCAGGCCAGGCTATCTTTCTCGTACCATTAGCGCCTATTTTCTTCTCCTACCCACCATTCATTGCACTGTAAGGTCACTGAACACATGCTTCACACTAAGAAGTTCAACTCACCTGTTGACCCCTCAGACATCCCTTCATTCCTTCTCACAAGCTTTGATCGTCTTAGGTGATCCTCCAGTCATCCGAATAGTCAGTTAGTGTTTCTTATCCTTTCCTTCGTACCCCGTAACACTCTCGTAACTTAAGCACTCAGTTCTTCTGGTGCGCGCCTTCAGCCTCCGCAGCACTTCCATGTTTGGGTCTTACCAGTATTGACATATATATACATAGACACTTTGTTAAGTGCTGGATCACTCTCGAGTGCGTTAAGACGCTTCTACATATGTATATGTTTATACTCTCGTCTCTTCTCTGTGGTGTCTGAATCATCGTCTGAATTCAGTGCGAACCGTGCCGACACAGTATCTTGCAATGCTGTTTTTTTTTTTACTCGGTAACAGATAAGATAAAAATGTAGCGAAATACAATGCTTACAACAAACAATACTTAAGTAAAAGTAAAATTACAGATTTTAAAAACTACTTAAAAAGTATAAATGCGCAAAAAATCTACTCAATTACAGTAACACAAGTAAATGTAATTTGTTACTTTCCACCTCTGAGAATAAGTCATATTACTTATTTAAACACACCAACCACAACACCGTGACCCCACAGATCAGTCACATTGCATTATTGACTAACAGTTGTTTTGATTAGCTTTATTAAAAATAGAGTTCTCTGATCTAATAAAAGAAAAGAGTATTCATCTTCTGTCTTCTTTTGCTGGAAAGTAAACAGTTTAGAAGCAAATGCATGACCTTGAGGCTGTTTCATGCACTCGGGCGCTGTGTCAAAGGGAACTGTGGATAGAGGTTAAATAACCTTGAGGAATAGCTCCTTCATCACGTTACAACTGCATGGATAAAAGATTACCGGATCATCTGCATACATCAAATGATTCAAAACAACATTCCCAACCTGGCAGCCAGTCCCGCATTCACTCAGCAGCCTGGACAGGTCATCCATGTACACATTAAAAAGACAAGGAGACACTATTACAAACAGTAAACGGAAGGGACACTGAATTCCCCCATTTGACAACCATGGACTGGTGGCCATGCCACTATACTAAAATCCTCACCAGATATTTAGGTACATTCCTGTCGAGCAGTTTTAAGAACAACTTTTCGTGATCAACACGATCAAATGCTTTAGAAGCATCAATGAAACATGTAAATATGGTCGTTGTGCCTGCTGTACAGATCCAGAATTTCCTTTAAGGCAAAAATACACACGTCTGTACCTAAATTCGATTTAAATCCAAATTGATGATCTGATGTAAAAACAAACTCCTCTAGTCTCGTAAAAATAGCCCTCTCCAGGACCTTAGACAGAGTACTGGCCAAAGCAATGGGCCGGTAATTATCTTTACCGTTTATTCTGCCTGTTTTATTCTTTATAATAGGTACCAAGACAACTGACAGCAGAGACTGTGGTAAAACACCGTGAATTAAAAACCTTGTAAAACAAATGGCCAACAGCAAGGATGCAGGTAGAGCACAGTCTCACTCTACATCTGCTGAGCTCTCCAGGTCGCTATTGTTTAAATGTTAGTCTTCACCATTCTAATATTTGATGATGTTTCTCTAGACTTTCCCTTCGATGCCTGTGTTGTAGGGTTTTTCATGTTAACAGGTAGATTTGTGTTACCTGTTGCCTTTCGCCTGCTTGTTTTACAACAGTGCTCCATCCCTGGCTCAGCCCCCCACTGTTACAACAAGGAGTACTCGTTTCTCCACTGCCACCTTCCTTACTCCAAGCAAGGTCTCCTCCTTCCCTTTCACTCCAACTCCCGTCTCAGTTGCCACCAGAGTATTCATCACCCCTGTTTCCCCGCCACTCTGCCCATCAGATTCACACGTTGGCCTCGTTGTACGCTGCCCACAGTCTCGCTGTACATCTGCTGAGCTCTCCAGGTTGCTCACACAATGATTCATATGGGATGTAATTGTGCGAAGATCCAAACTGGCTGATCATTGATGGCAGATCGTCCAAATAATGTGACACAAACCGCAGGATGTTTTGTGTCACATTCATTTAGCACTTTGGGCAGCTCTTTATGTTATTTGCATCCTTCTGTGTGCCACATTGCACTGTGCAGTGGGACACAACTCAAACAGGACTTTCTTGGAGGCCTCGATCCACTCAGAGTCAAATGCGTTCGCTGCAAGTGAAACAAGCTCATCCTGGCTGATGGTTCTGTATTTCACAGCTACGTTCTGTAGACTTCTGGTTTTTGTCTAGATCGACACAACTCACGAGCAGCTAAAATACCTTCCTCCAATCCATCTGCCATCTTGTTAATCATAATGGACACCTTAGACACCATAGGCATATATCAATTTTGATTGTGTAAATGTTATGAGGTGCCCATCTTGAAGGGCATTCATTTGAACAGTCATTGGCCTCCTTCCTAACAGTTACATTAAAATCAATGTAGTGAATCTTTGGGCATCGTTAGAGTTATAGAGTCTGTTTAATCGAACTAATGAATGGTTGGTGATTTATTTTGTAACAGACTTTTTAAGCTCTGTTGGACATTTACATTAATCAGAAAAGTAGTGTTAATCTTTTATAATTATGAACAATGTGAATAAGTTTTGTAATTGTTCCTCTCCTGTGTCAGGTGGTATGGGTGACAGCTACATTTCCCTACCTGGTCCTTCTGGTGTTGCTGGTGCGTGGGGCCACCCTGCCAGGGGCCTGGAGGGGTGTTGTCTTCTACCTCAAACCTGACTGGGAGAAACTGCTCAGTACTACGGTGAGCTGATGGTTTTTAAACAATACATTTTACAAATTCTAATTTCCCTCACCTTCCCCACTGATCACTGTTATTCTACATTGTTAAAGGTTTGGATTGATGCAGCAGCTCAGATCTTCTTCTCTCTGGGTCCTGGCTTTGGTGTGCTGCTTGCCTTTGCCAGCTACAATCCATTTCACAACAACTGCTACAAGTAATTAAATTAAATTCTATTTATTTATATAGCGCCAAATCACAACAAAAGTTGTCCCAAAGTAAACAACACAAAATGAACCAACTCCTAAGTGCATTATGCCAGTTAGTTAAAAGAGTCATCACCTGCTACCACCAGAGATGTCTACATCACATCATAGTCTTTTAGGCCATAAAAATAATTTGTATTGGAAAAATAAATTAAGGAGTGGTTTTCTGACCCTTGTTTGTGCGGACAAATTTTCTCGCAAGAGCACTCGTGATATTGCCGCTTTGCCGGATGCATAATTTGGAATTGCAGGATGTCTACAGAAGATCCCGTCTTTCTCGCCTCCGATTGACTGGAAGGGCCCTACCATGATTAACTATTTGATTTAACAGCAACAGCGTCTTCCCTTGCTAAGTGCGGACTGTTCTCCTGCCACTGCCACCAACAGAAAGCTATTTTGGGGAGTTTTGTAAAGAAACTGTGAACTTAGCGTGGCGAGAAAGATGGGACCTTCCATTGACATACTACGGTTCCAAATGTCCTGTCATGGTTGAAAAATAGTTCCAAAATGAAGTTGAAATAACAACTTTTCTGGCAGTGAATTCAATGACTTTCAGCATGTCTCATTTGGATGTTTAAAAATAAAAATTTGGTCGTCTTATTACTGTAAAAAATAACTCCAAATGACAATCTGATAACCCAGCCTGGATTCAAACCCGGGTCCAGCTGTCTTGCTAGCTGAGCTAACCCTTAGACACATTTTCAATAAAAATATTTATATCACCAAAAATGGTGTTAAAACCCAGTAAACACTTGGATGCTTGATGACAGCTGAAATGAGATTAGTCCGATAAGAGTTTGATATTTTAAAATACCAACTATTATCACTATATTTTTAAACACAACTAGCTCCAAAATAAAAGTCGAAATAACAACTTTTCTGGAAGCAGAGCAGTGCGGGCTATAGCAGCGTTGCTCTGCACTGTCCATAGATGGTATTGTACATCCTGCCTTTGTGACCACAGTAAGGCCATAACTCAAGATCTCGTTTTGGAGTGCGCGTGCTTGTGAGGTGCACGTGGGCTGGTTAAAGAAGCCAAGAGTTAAAAAAACGATCCGCATGTTAGAGGCAGGACTTGGGAGAGCCGTCTTTACTGACTGTACACTCCACCTCCTCTAAACCCCAAGTGCAGATGAATGAGGAACACGAGAGAGAATGTAGAGTAGAAGATGAGACCTTTGTGGATTAGGAAGTAGCTAAGATTAGTAAGAATGAAGTGAGGAAAGCTTTGAAGAGGATAAAGAGGCTAATGGTCCTGATGACACCCGTGCCAGATTTGAAATACCTATAGGAGAGGTGGCAGGAGGCTGTTCAACAAGATTAGGATTATTGGGAAGATAAACGAAATGTGTTGTGGTGCTGATTTTAAGGAATAAGTGAGACATGCAGAATCGTGGCAACCACAGAGGAATAAAGCTAATGAACAAATTAAGCTTAGGAAAATAGGCTTAGGTCAGACGTGAGAATTTGTTCCACGCCAAGACAAAGTACTGCAGACACTATTGTTGTTTAAATGGTGTTGCAGAAGTGCAGAGAAGGTCAGATGGAGCTGCGTTGTGTTTTTGTCGATTTAGAGAAAGCATATGACAGGATGGTGAGAGGAGCTGTGGACTGCATCAAGGGTCGACTCGAAGCCATATTGTTTGCTTTGGTGATAGAGAGGCTGATAGATGAAGTCTCCTTGGACTCTGATATTTACAGATGACATAGTGATCTACAGTGAGAGCAGGCTGCAGGTAGAAGAAGAGCTAGAGAGGAAGGAAGAGAGAAAACCTGTGAAAGGGACACAAGTGGAACGGTGATGCTACAGGGAGCAAAAGAGAAGAAGGGGAGGACTTTAATCCTTAAACCTAGTTTATACTTCTCTGTCAGCGGGCTTAGCTCACACTCACACACACACACACACACACACACACACACATGCATATTCACTGAGGCATTTTTTTACTTCTCTATTGGTGTGTCAGTGTTGACAAGCAATTCTCTGTCAGGACAGCAGAGGGTGTAGTGCCCAACCCCTAACCCTAACTTTATGAGACTTTTTAACATAAGACCCATTTGTCCTCAACCTCTTCATCCAGTTACCACCTCCAAACTCGCGTTTCCTGTAATTTCCTGACGCGGAACAAAGTTTGCTGCTCGTCTTTATACTCCTTCTGAAATGGGTGGAGAAGCACCAGGTGTGAGGACAGAATGAGATGGTTTGGACATGTACAGAGGAGACAACAAAGACAAATGAGGTTGGAGGCACCAGACAAGAGGCAGAGAGGAAGCCCAAAAAGGGGTTTATGGATGTGGTGAAAGAGGACATGACTCCTGAAGGGACACGTCCAAACCAAAAATGGATGAAAATATTTCATAATCTTTCCTCTAAAATACCGTAAATCCTCTAATACAGGCCCAGGCCTGTATTTGACTCAAGCTCATCAAGCTCCAGGCCTTTATTGGAAGGAGGACCAGAATTAGAGGCAGGTCTCTATTTCTATTTGAGCAAAATGAACTAATGGTTCGCTGGAGTTTTTGACAATTAAAATTGCGCCCACATTTTCAAAGTTAAACACATTTCTTTTAACAACGGTAGTTTCTGCTTCAGCCCTCTCCCCCCTCCCCCTGCGCAGCGCCGCAAACTCACCGATGCGCCTGCAGCCTCTCGGAGTTCCTGCTGCTCTAAACATTAAAATAATTATTTCATTTTCTGTTCCTCACTTCTGATTACCTTCAATGGTGTCTGTTTGTTGCAACAGCAGGTACAAAAACTAACTTGTTTTTATTTGACTATTTTTCTGTCCTGCCTGTTTATTATCTTCCTGCATCTCCTCTCAATCCTAAAGAAAAACTGCTACCTGGGTTCATATATATTCACCTCATGAGTTACCTTTGAACTGCAGTTCTAAAAGATCTACCGACCGCAAAAACAGCCGAGTGCTCGCTGCTTGGCGGCCGCATCAGTGATCGGTGCGTCACCGGAGGACAAGGTGATGCGCCCCGCTCCACAGCAGCGAAACGCATCAGGCGCAAATAAAAGACAGAAAACATAAAAGGAAATGAGCCGAAATGAACGATCGCATGTTAAATTTGATTTTGAGGTGGCGACACCTGATTAGATAATGTTACTGTGGCCGTGCTCAGGACGCAGATGTCTGGAGCGCGTCAACAATCAGAGCTTTGCATTGCATGTGCAAGCTGGTTAAGGTTAGGATGGGGGTGAGGGGAAGGTTAAATTGCAAGAGGGTAAATGTCACAATTCGGTTAAATGTCCGTTTTATGGCGGGTGTCAGTACAGATGCTCTGGCACAGCGCGCAGGAGCTTGTCACCTGCTGACAGCAGGCTGCTGTCTTTTCCGAGGACTGCATCTTGCCGGTCATTATCACGTGACAGCGACTAGTCGACGACAGGCATAAAAAGTCACTATAGTGAAGTCGACTAGTTCATACAACCCCTGCTACTGCTCCCCAGAGTGTTCTGCAGCATAATCAGCACGTTCTCTTTGAACTTGATATAAAATTTTTACCTCCTCTTCGTCTCCGCACCTGCCAAATCGCGTTCTCTTACTGGTAAATCAAAAGTGAGACGGATGACACAACCGCCCCCCGTGGTACTTGCTTGTTACCACATTCCACCCGGCCACAATAAAATACCGGACATTATTCACCTCTGCCGACTCCGACACCGGCCAAAATATGGTACCCGGCCATTAATTGAATACAGGCCAATATAAGAGCATTTACGGTATCTCAAGTTTTCCATTTTTCTGCTAACTGTGCCGTTGTTTTTGCAGAGATGCTTTGGTCACCAGCTCAGTGAACTGTCTGACCAGCTTTCTGTCAGGTTTTGTCATCTTCACTGTGCTGGGCTACATGGCCGAAATGAGACAGCAAAGTGTGGACACAGTCGCCAAGGATGCAGGTAGAGCACAGACCGTCAGAACATAAATCTCAATATTCGCCTGGACTCAGATTGCCGTTGTCAGTCTGAGGGCCAAGGATAGGAGAAATCCAACATAGCAGTTGTTTCTGTGTGCTAATCTGCCTCTTGTATTCCCTTTAGGCCCCAGCCTCTTGTTCATCATTTACGCTGAAGCCATAGCAAACATGCCTGCTGCCACTTTCTTTGCCATCATCTTCTTCCTCATGATCATAATGCTGGGTCTGGACAGCACGGTCAGTCAGCCTGTACAGTCACTGTGTGCTCCATCAACCCTCATCCCAACAAAGTCTGGATGTTATTTATTCTCTATCCCCTTTTGAACAATAGTAAACAAAAACGATGTGATTGCAGATTCATTTTGTTTCGTGTGCTCATCTTTGTTTATCTGTCTCAAGGCAGCCGGCTGGAGCCCCGTAATGCTCTTATCATATACTGATAATCATTTTAGGATCAGCATCAGGGTTGTGAGGGAGGATATTACTCCAGCACGGGTTCTGTATTTGAATTCATGTTGGACTGGTTTAAGTTTCATCTCAGTTTGGCCACTTCTTAGTGTGTTTATTCTGACATAAAGAAGGTTTTCCTTTTTTCATCTTCTTCCTGCTTCTTGCTACTCTACTGCTATATAATGTTTTTAAGTAACCATCTCTCCTGGTGTCCTCTCCATCCAGTTTGCAGGACTGGAGGGAGTCATCACAGCGATGCTGGATGAATTTCCTCATACCCTAGCTAAGCGGCGGGAGTGGTTTGTCTTTGGTCTCGTTTGTGTCTGCTACCTTGGGGCTCTGTCTACCCTCACATATGTAAGTCGTTTAATCAGGGTTTAGCATTAAAACAAACATTTTTAATTAAAGGAAGTACTGCTTGACAACTTTACTGATAATTTAAGGTGCCAGGAGATTAGATCATCAGAACTGACCTTCAGTTATAGCTGTTGTTTTTGTTGTAAAGCGTGATTAGTAAGGATCCCATGAAACAAGCAGCTCAGCTAAATGTGATGGTAGCTCCCCCCAAAATCTCTTGCAATATTTATCTGTTGGCTTTCACTCTCTTGTTCTGGGTTGGATGATTGGTGAAATTACAATACACTTACTTATTTTACATTATCAGGGACCTCAGTAGCATGTGGAAGATCCACAGCAGGTTCCTCATCCTCTTCTGGCTGGTGACCAGTCTGGTCACGCCGGAATAGCATTCAATTCCTTAACCAGGAGCTCTAGGGAGCCTAAGTCATGCTCATCTACTTCTGAACCATGGGTCCCTGGAAGAACAAAAAAAAAAAATGAATGCAGGTCAACGGGGCTATAAAAGCTCATTTCTAATCCCCTTTCTAATGTGCCATCGATTTCACATGTGATATCCGTGAATTTTAATGACCCATTCTAATGCCAAGAATGCACTTATTTTTGAACTGGGGCAAAAGTCATTTTAGGTTTTGTGTGGAAAATATGTCCAGGACTACAAATGTGCATCACCAAACTGATGTCATCAAACCAGACACAGAGGAAAAATGGCTGTGAGTTTATCAAACTTCAAGTCCTCCCTTCAAGATGAAAGAGCCACCATAAATCTCACCATGTGGAAAGTAGCAGCTGTGCTAGGGCAGATTATGTGATGACATCATATATGTGACGTGCCAACGCCTGACTTTTAGTCTTAGTAATTACAAACTTTTACAAGCTGATGAATCATAAAGTACGTGACTGGCGTGGTCGAAACACCCATCCTTACTTTTCATTTAAATGGAATTACAACATATATGCAATCCAGGGCGTGAGGCAGGATCGGGTATTCATTCCTGGGCCTGGAGGACCCGGAGTGCCTGGAAGGTCTGGAAGGTCTGGAGGGGCTGGAGGGCCTTGAGGGCCAGTATCCAGCATGTTTTAGTTTTACCTCTGTTTCAACGCACTGGATTTCAATCAGCAGGCTTCTGCAGAGCTTGATGAGCTGCTGATAGTTGATTCAACCGCTGAATCAAGTGTGTTGGCCCTCCAGGACCAGAGTTGAATGCCCCAGGCGTAAGGCTAAGCGAATGAGAAAATAGCTCTTTTAGCCCCATTGATCTACATTCATTTTTCCATGCTTCCGGGGACCCATGACCCAATCAGAGAGGGAGGAGACTTAGGCTTCCTATTTAAGGTTAACCACAGTGAAGGAGGTCACATTAGCACTAACAGGTGTCGAACGGTGTTAGTCATACACCTCTGACTGGAACATACCTGGCAGCACTTGAAGTTCAGCGCCACAATGAAAACCAACAGAAGGATGTTGGTACATTCTGTGTTCTACCCACACCTTCAACAGCGTTACTAATTCCATGGATTTTATTTTCCACCTCATGGTAAAGAAGGTGACACATTGAGCTTTTCGAATGCAACAGAGTCTGATTGTATTAAAGGGGAGAAATGACTAAAGATTTGCTGCCAATACATTTTCAATGAATCCTGATGCGACTTGCTGAATATAAAAAGACATGCTTGAGCTTTATGAGGAACTCCTATGTTATCTCTCAGGGAGGAGCGTTTGTGGTGAAGCTGTTTGAAGAGTATGCCACGGGCCCTGCAGTCATCACTGTGGTGCTGCTAGAAGTCATAGCGGTTTCCTGGTTCTACGGTCAGTAAAGACCATGATGATGATGAAGACCACTGATTCTCAAAGTCGTTGTTTTCTCTTGTTTCTTCTTTAATTTGCAAACAGTTGAATAAGGCAGGGTTTCTGTGTGTGTGTGTGTGTGTGTGTGTGTGTGTGTGTGTGTGTGCTCATGCATGTTCTAGGTACCAACCGTTTCTGTAGCGATGTCCATGCCATGCTTGGGTTCTACCCGGGCTGTTTCTGGAGGGTCTGCTGGGTGGCTATCTGCCCCTGCTTCCTTCTGGTCAGTCTCATACACACATTTGACTCAAACACTTGATAGACCTCCCATCTGACATCAGATTTTTTTACTTTACTTTCACACACAGTTCATCATCATCAGTTTCCTGGCGTTCCCTCCAGAGGTCAAGCTGTTTGACTATAATTACCCACCATGGACCACTGTCCTGGGCTACTGCATTGGAGTGTCTTCATTTATCTGCGTGCCTGCTTATATGGTTTTCCACCTGCTTAATGCCAAAGGCACATTCAGACAGGTACATATTTATCCTTTCATGCTCTTGTATCCCCAACCTGTCTTTTTTCGTCCTGTATCCTCGTCCTTGTTAGTCATTCTCATTCTCGTTGTTCGGTCACCAACACAGTGGGGCTTGCTTCTGGTTGCTTCTTGTTTTTTTGCATTGTCTGTAAACACATGACTGAAGATCAGGATCAAAGGAGAAGAGGAGACACAGGACAGGGATCAGAGAGGAATAACAATAAGCACTCAAGCAGACATCCACTCTACTGTAGAAGTGTAGACCAACCATAGGCTTCAGCCTTAATCCACACATTAGCACCAAACTGTCTTTTCAAATAATTTCTGTTATTCATGAGTCTTCAACTGTCATCATCTTCACCATTTAACATCCCTGTAGCATACCAAATGGCCAAGTTTTTCATCAAAATGACCAGGAGTTATCTTTTAACTTACAGGCGAAAGCTCTTCATACGGGTCAATCTGACACCGTGGCGCCGATATGAAGTCAATGAACTTGAGCCAATAACTAACTAATAATGCGTACATCATGAGTCCTCAAGGCTGACATCCTCTTTGAATAAAGCTGGTCTTCCCTGGCTCATGAATGACTTTAAAACTTCACAATCATATTTTAATTAATGGACAATTTGTTTAAACCAGTGTTACTAATGTGTCCTATACTTTAATGAACGATGGGTTAAAAAGAATATTTTCCTGTAATGAGTTCTTTCAGATCTTAGATCAGTAACGTTAATCCATCAGCATGAACACAGTCATGTCACCATATTGTCGTTAATGGTTTAAACATTTGTGCTCCACATAATCTGTTTAACATTTTTACTTCACATATAGGAATAACCTCTAAGTATCTGAGTGAAGGAGTGATTTCCTGAAGCATTTTGTTAACGCCTTTAAAACTTGTCAAATTCTGATTTGTCTAAATTTGTCAACAGTAGTTAATAAAAGCTAGGTCACTTTCTGATCTAGCCAGGTCTCCACCGCCTCCTGGTTAGGCCAACCGGGTGAGCAAAGCACTTGGGACCATCCTCTCTTTTGACCTCAAGCTGAAAGCCTCTCAGCTACACTTGCGAGTGGTATCAGACGCTACAACACCTCAGATGGGGAACTTCTAACTAGCAGACCCTGGTAGCATCTCATGGCCGGTGATATCTGAATTCAAAGGAAGCTGCGACTCTTTGAGATTCCAGGAGCCACTTCATCTGGTGACATCACCACCCTGGTTGCCTCTACTCCGGACTGCTCAAGAGCGGCCATCACACAAGGGTATCGTAGACTTGCACACTGGCGTCAGATGAGTTTATGAACAATCTATGGCTAATTAAATCATTCAGTCAAACAGATTTTACAACCCAGACATCACAAGATCTCTCAGATACTTAACAAGGTTTTGCTACATAAATGTCTAGCTTACGTTCCATCATTTCATTCATTGTCTGTTATCTTGTCCAACCATAGTTTCTTTCATATTTTGTCATGTATAATCATTAGTTTAGAAAGATAGAGTTAAATTACTTTTTATAAACTAGATCCTTGGCTCTGTCTGAATTAATAACTTCCTGGGCTTTTAACCCTCTGGAGGCAGGCGTTGCAGATGTGCAACGTTAAAACCCACCTACCTGGTTACTCCACATACGTATTTCATGAGCAATTTTCAACTCAGAAGTTCCTCTGAAGGACTTAGTTGTTTGTCCTTTGATCAAAACTTATTTTCAGCCTGAGAGGGTTAACCGGAAACACCTTAGTGGCGGGGAAATCAAGAGTTTTTGCTGTGCTCTGCTATCGTTTCTTGCCCGTAAGAGCGGAGGGGAGGCCCGTGGTTTGTTTAGCTGCTGTACGTCGTCTGTGTCAGCAGAGAAGGTAGGGGGTGTGGACAAGCAGAGCCTGGAGGCTCGCCAAGCTTATAAAGCACTGGGGGAAACCCTGCCCTTTATGCTCATATTCTCGCAAAAACAGCAGAAATCACCCGAATACATGGTAATTGCCGCGTGAGAGGACGAATAAAGCTTGAGCGACTTGTTTATTGTTTTCCAGGCGTACATGGTATTCATCATTTGAGTTGTTACTGTGATTGGCTAAAGACAAAATATGGTAGCCCATGCCAGCTGGGCACTACCTTGCACATCCAAAATATTCTACCAGATAGCCCTCCATTTTTCAGACACCTTCTGCTGCAGGTTCCATAGGGCGGGGCCACACATAGAGATTTGGCTGCTGCCAGGTTAAATCCCTGAGCCTGTGTGTGGGGAAAGCGGGAAAGTCTGTGGTGTCTTCCATAAGAAGATAAAGGCGGGCATGAGCTAGGTTGCGTTAGGAGATTTATTAATTTACTGTGTGTGTCCTCATACAACTCTGGTCCTCTGCTGCTGCGGGCCACACACACACACACACACACACACACACACACACACACACACACACACACACACACACACACACACACACACACACACTGTCTCTCTTTTCTTGTTCCCATTGAGCGGGAGTGCTGTTCTACAGACAGCAATGGTTATGAATGAATCCCGCATGCAGGAAACCCCTGATGGCTGATGCTATTCACTAATCAGAGTCTGTAGGCGCAGTTTCAACTGGCCATTAAGTGTCACCTCGGTCCCAGTCGGACCTCTGGGGAGGAGGTCTGAAAAGACATATCGCCTCAGAATGGAAAGCTCATATATGACCCAAGTGTGAAACTAAATTTTGGTCTCGTACCCGACTGTACTGATGCTAATGTGTAAGCGCCGCATGTAGATTATGACATCAGCTTCAAAAGATAATGACGGACTGCATTCTGCTAAGTATCAAACTTAATTATTCTGTCTTCATGTTAGATGTAACAACACATGTTTTTTTCCCTCAGCGCCTGTTAAAGAGCATCACTCCAGAGCCCAGCAGTGACAGCCACAGAGACTTCATTGTGACCAATGCAATCTGACCAAACCCTCACCACTTACACTGTTCTAACTCCCTGGAGTGCCCTCTTCTGGACATAATCAAAACCCACATAATCAATGGAGTAGCTTTCATTGTCTGTAATTTTTCCATCAGGATGCAGATTCCAGGATGGGAATGGGCCAGGTCAGTCTGCAGTTTTCTTTAGCATTGTTTAGTTCTCTGTGCTGGTTGGTGCCCCAAACCCACATTTACATTTTGATAACGTTTTATCCTATTATTTTATCCTGTGGCAGTTTTTGACAACCTTGTTTCAAAAGAGCTACATCCAAGTCATCTCATGACCAACGGAATAATATTTTGTCCAAAAAGTACAATTCAGTCATTAGTCTCAGCTGATTCATCTCAGAAAGCGATACAAATGTCTTCGGTTATGCCTTCATATAGTGAGTTTTGTCTTCAAACTTGTAGCTGAAATTCAGGTACCCTGTTGCATCAGTTGCTGAAGCCAAATATCAGAGATATTGTGTTCCTGTTTTAATAGTGTTGCTGTTTGGTGGCAGTCAGCTTTTTGTTCATCAGAAGGCATTTTAAATGACTGACAGATTTGCAATGAAGTTCCTACACTGTGAATTGCTGCGTCTGTTGGTGTGTGTGTGTGTGTGTGTGTGTACTTGTGTGATTATTTTATGTGTGCCAGATGTTGGGTGTGTGTACATTGTACCTCCACAGCGTGTGTCTGTGTTAGTGTGTGTCAGTGACGTGTCGTCTTGTTCGATGCCAAATGTCTCACAAAGAAGAAACACCTTGTCTTGCTTGTATTTCTCTTGAGCTTATGTAAGAGCTATGTATGTTAATAAAAGACTGTACTGAGAAACATCTGTATAGAAGAAAAATATATAAATATATCAGAAATAACAGATATTAATAACAATAAAGATACCATATGGAAATGAATACCAGTTGTTTGCTTTGGCGTCATTTACATTGGTTGGTGCAGAGGCAGAATACAAACTGAAATGGGTTTCAGGTTTAAAATTGGAAAGTTGACATTTTCCAAAGCCATTTGCAATTGGATTGGTGGAACAGGGCTCTCATGATCATCTGATTTGTTTGGGGCATACAGAAAAGAGGATCTGTGAAAGAAATGGTGAGTCCTCCCATCATTCCTGTGTCCTACCAGTATTAAAGCATCCTTAGACTGTGTGTGTGTGTGCGTGCGTGCGTGCGTGTGAACAGTTTATGCTGTGCTTACCTCTACACCCACAAGCAAATTAAACACACGTAGAAATGTATATAATCCCTCAGCGAGGAGCATCATTTAATAAAACACACCAGAAGCATAATGTTTAAATAATAGAATTGTTCAATAACATGACTTTAGCTGTAACAGGTACTACAGAACTCACCAGTGATGTGCAGTCAGAAAAGGCAGGGGAGACACTGCCTCTGTTGTCATTGTGACAATTAAAATGCTAATAGTGATTTAATGTAAATCTGTGTATCCAATGGATGGTTTATACATTTGTTTTCCGTATGATTTTATCATGTTCATGGTCAAAATAGCTGAATTTGTCCTGGTAAAATACACATGCTGAAATGAGAGGGGAAACAAACACGAGCCTGCCTCTGCTCTCACACACATTAACAGGTTCAGGAAGGGCACGCTCTGTATCGAGTGTGTGGCCCTGCGCCCTCTGGAGGCAGAGACGAGCGCTGCCTCACTGCCTCTGGAGGCAGAGACAGAGCCACTTTTAGCTTTGTGGGGGGGCCATGCAAGATGCTGTTCCGGGGTCCCTATATGGCCAAACTACAATCGAACCACCATGCATTAGATTATTTATAAACACATCACAAATGATCACAAATCATTACGTGCAAGCAAAACAGGCTTTTGCGATGCTGTCCTGATGAGTCATGATGACATCTCATTTGAAAAGTAAACATCTCAAGTTAAGTCACTCAAGCAAGATGAATATAAACAAGAAAGCACTTAGAGAGTGTAGTCCACCTTACACTCAAAGACATATACAGACATTGGATGAGAGTATTGATTGTGTTAATTATATCATTTTCTTCACTTTTGTCACAAACTGAACTAGCAGGACACCAAACACTGAAAAGCACCTTTAAAAGTCTTTATTTGATGCAGAGTACCAGAGGATGGCGAGTCTGGAAACAGAGTTGGAGAGGAGGCGAAAATCCTTTATTTTTGAAGGATGAAATGAAGAGTAAATCCAGGGCGGAGAGCCAGAGTCCAAAAATGTCCAAAATCCAAAATAAACCGGAGATCCAACTGAGATACGAGAACATACTAGAGACTAGGAACGAGAGACTGACAGAATCACCACAATGGACCGACAAGACACTGAGACAAGACAGGGCTTAAATACACAGGGAGGAGGAGAGGGAGAGGAGCTGCAGGTGTGTGGGGTGTGGGAGGAGGACCAGGTGAAGGCAATGACTAATCAGGGGAGAAACTAACTTGATCTAAGAATAAAACCCAATACAAAAGAGCAGGAAAACAAACTACAATTCAAAGGGAGGTGGGAGAAAAATAATAAACACTGATGGGAAAAAAACATACTAAATGATGAAAGGCTGTAACTAAAGGAAATGACCTGAGAAACCTAGAGGGCTGGGGATCTAGGGGCAAATAAGGAAAACCAGAAGACACATGAGGAAGATGCAGATATGACACATGAGGGCGCTAGGACACAAAAGGAGCACCTAGAGAGGATGGAGAAACACCAGGAGGCACATGAAGGAAGGGGCAGACGCAGACCATGACAACAGTATCTTTTCCCCTCACAGGAGTCTGGGAGTCTACACGTAGGCCCTTTAATCAGAGCCTACTTCCTCACACCAGCTGGTCTGCAGAGATAATAAAACAAAACAGTAACATCTTGTCCTCCAAGGTCCATCACAGAGGAACTATTTTAAAATAAACTCATTTATTCCCAGATGAAGAAGAGAAGAATATTTTATAATTAAAGATAATCATTAAATATTGCCATTTATAATTATAAACAATGAAATGTTCATCGATCTGTGTTCAATGATGGTTTTAGTATGTTTACTTGATGAGGTCATAACATTTGCACTCACAAGTAAAGTTAACGCACGACACATAAGTTAACCATTTGCCCACATTCAGAGTCTCCATCATAGAGGGTGTGTCTCTCAGATGCTTGGCAATATCCTCAAACGTGCCAACTTTTGGTTGGCTATTCAAGATAACATATGTCCATTAAAACTAGTTTTACTCTGGTTTTCAGGTAGTTCAACAGTTCGAGGGTTCTAGAGAAAAGCTTCAGACCGGCCATCTGAGCGAAAGCCTCTTTAACCAGAAGGATTTTGACACGTTGTAAAAACCTTAAACCTTTTTCGCACCTGTGAAGCTGAAACAACAAGACACTTTCCTGCAGAACAAAGCTGACGCAAACTCTTTCAGAGTTATTTTTAAGATGCCCAGTTTCATCCATCTGTCGTGACCCGAGAGACATCTCCGGACTGAAAGAATCGGCACCTCTGTCCTCTACAGCCCTCCGGTGCCAGCGGTCATCCGACCTCTCACTTTCGGATCGACCAAGAGGGTCTCTTAATCCGGGTAGACACACAGATAGCGTCTGCATGTGGTTCTGATAATAACAACTTTACAGCTATTTGCAAACCTAATTCTCTCCATCCAGAACTCCGCTTTCTCATGATTCTGACCCTGAATACCTTATATTCACACATAGGTCCTAGACACCATCCTTAGTTCGCATCCACTCACAGTAAGTTGTCAAGTCTTAAGGTTTGTAAAATAAATTCTTATTTTGTTTATAAACCTGCCTGTTTCTTGAATCAAAGCAAATGTTGTGTGTCGGGGTGAGTACTCCTCCTTCTCTACAACATCTTTGTGAGATCTTCATTCCAGGAGAGGGCACTCACCAGCTGCGGGGCATTACCAATCAGCGGCAGCTGCAGCTCCTCAGATCAACCGCAGCAGAGCTCTATTTAAGAGGAGAGGGAACTACTTCACATCGCTGGATGATTAGCTACTCACGGCAGTATCTTGCCTCTCTCAAGTCTTAGGTTATGCTTGGTCTCTGCTCAGACATTTTTGCTGTCGCAGTATTTGGATGTATTTGGATTTTTTCTTGGATTCTTGTGTTTGGACCATTTTGGACTCAAGTTTGTATTCCTCTTCAGGATACTTGGAAACGCTGAACCATTGATGGAATATACCTACCTGGAACTCACCATAACCCGCCTGGACAACAACTCTCACGGTTCGCCTCTCCTCCTGTTCCTCCTATCCTCTGCCGCCATCGTCGGGCTCCCTCTCCTGGACGCACCCCATCACACCATCTGCCCTCCCTACTGACTTCTGGACTCTTTCTGGCTTCATTGAACTTGGATATCTCCAGGACACTTTTAGTTAGGTTTAATAAATCATTGTTTGAACTTTCTGCCGTTTGGTGATGATTTTTCATGTCGTGGGTTAAACACCTTCCCAGGGACATGGCAGCAAAGTGTGTACAATCCCTGAATAAACAAAGAATCCTAGAATCTTCTGCCTGATCATCTTAAGACCAAGCTGGGGATAATCTATATTTATATAGATTATCACAGCTATTGGTCCCAAGTGCTGGTAATAATAAATAGCTTAAAGCAACTTATTTAATCCAATTTACCCTCTATGATCATTACACAGATCACAGGAATCTGCTTTACTAGAGTTATAGCCAATGTCCAATGACCTTTTTAAAATTTCAATGTTTGTATGTTAAAGTATGTTGATACAGTAGTGTGTAAAAATTGCAAAATGGTTTAGCTAAGCTTGTTGCCATGGTAATGGATTACACATTTAAAATGTATTACAAAATCCCTGAGACAAAGTCGGTCGATTTGATGTATCATGTGTGGCTGCTCATCTCTCTTAGGCTAGAAGATGGTGGCATGCTCTCACCCAATCAGAGACTAGCACTGTTTTCCCGCCTTTTCCCTTAGTGTTGGAGTCATGAATCTGCATTGAAATAAGTGGGGAAAGCTGTAGAACACACACAGTGCAGATAAAATGCATACATCCATACATACAGAGAGAGAGACTGACTTAAACACAATTATACACACACACAGAGGGACAAATACACAAGAGAGAGAGAGACAGAAATGTCAACAAACTGAAACTGTGTATATATATATATATATATATATATATATATATATATATAATGTCCAGCAATGGTCAGTTTGGGTACATCCTGACCTTCCAACATCTATCCAACATCTGGTCAGAAAGGAGACACAACATTGCACGTAGTCCCTTTAAACCAGCCTGCCTTCCTCACCAGCTGGAGTCAGAGCCTGCAGTTCTGACAGAGATAATGAAAACAAACAATAACATTCTCTCCTACCAAGGTCCCTTTACAGAGGCACTCTTAAATAAACTCCTCGATTCAAGAAAAGATTTTAAAATAAAGATAATCATTAAATAAACGTTTGTTTATTGCTACTTATAATAAATTATAAAACAATGAAATGCTCATTAATCTCTGCTTAATGATATATGTTTAGCATGTTTACTTGACGAGGTCATCACTATTTGCATTCACACAAGGACAGAGTGAAGTTAAGTTAAACGCATGACACATGGTTAACCTTTTACCCAGTTAAGAGCCTCTGGATCAAAGAGGGTGTGTTTCTGAGATTCTTGGTAATAGTCCTCAAACTTCTCAACTTTTGGTTGGCTATTAAATCATAACATCGGCAAGTAAAACCGGATCATTCTAATGATTCAGCAGTTCAAACAGTTGGAGAGTTCTAGAGAAAAAGCTTCAGACCGGCAATGTGTAGCAAGACCTCGTTAACCAGCAGAGATTGTGACACATCGTCAAAATCTTTAAAACCTTTTTCACACCTGTGAAGCTGATGACAACAAGATAGTACCTGCAGAACAAAGCTGA